GCATCACGAATGATAGGATAACAAATGGGCTTGACCATGAGGCCAATCTTTATTAGGGCCGTTGCATCATGCTGGGTCTTCTGTGTTTCGGTCGTAGTATCTCCTGTAGGGTATCCATTTACACTGTTCCAAATGCCCAAGTCTTTGAGATAAAGCATCATTCCGAATTTCCAATCAGAATAATTTAAACGACCGTCCAGCTTTTCAATCGGTGGCAAGGTTGCAGTTGGATTCGACATCTTTGATAATACTCAAAAAATATCCACAACTCTTCAAGTTAATTATATACTACGCGCAGTGGATACGTGCTGGGCCCATAACCTGTTGTAAAACTTTTCGTTTTTTTCTGTAGGTTTTTATTTCTTGATCTACACACTTCCACTTTTACATCCAGTAATATCATCTAGTATACGCACTAGCGTGCACGTGCGCATACGAAAAACCAACTTACCACCACATTGCCTGGAACCGTACTGGGACAGCCATGTGGTCAGAATGTACAACATGCGTATATAAGTATTGCCAACATATACACCAGAAACAACATGCGTATATTAGTATTACCAACACAGGCAAGGTAACATTTGATAAGGTTATTTTGTTACTGCTCAGTATGAATCATTTTCTTGTATGCCGAGCATAACTAACAGAGAACATGTAACTGTATCAGGTTATATTTGACCAGTTACAAAATTCAAGTGTCTGAAATTTTGTCCAGAGGTAAATTGCAGGTACTCCTCGCATTATATGAGATCAGGTGATGCAATTTCATTTTAATGCACTGAACAAATGTTCGGTCGATTTCAACTAATAGCATATACTTAAATGTGAATTTCTTGCAGCCCACTCAAGAGAAGTGGGGAGAAGATTGAGTAAAGTGTTATGTGGGTGGCAAGGGAGGAATGCAGGGGGAGAAAGGAAAGTTATATTTTATTTATCCCTCATAAATTAAGGTTATATTTGCATTGTTCAAGCATTTTATTTGGTCCACCATGTTCAAGACTGTTGAAGAGCCATGAGATGGCACTGGTTTCACGTTCCAGGAGCAGACAGCCTCAAGCGCAGTGAGGTAGAGGCACTTGTACCTTGGGTCAAGAAGACACTAGCTGGCATGGTACAGAATGTGCGAGTGACTAAAAGGCTGGATGCTCACCCATGTGTTGTGACAGTAGAAGAGATGGCAGCTGCCAGACACTTCATCCGTACCCAGTCGCACCTTATGAATTCAGAGAGTCGCTATGCCCTCCTGCAGCCACAACTGGAACTCAATCCTCGGTTGGTGCTCATTAACCCTTTGAAAGCACAATGGTCTCTGCAGTGATTTTTTTGATTTTACGTTTTTCACACACTTTTTGCATGGTCCCAGTCAAATGATCGTAACAGTAATCATATGCTTTAACTGATTTTACCCTTCCACAACACAACATTTTGCCAAAATTTGTACTTAATTTTTCCAGCCCTGACTACAAAAATTTACCAAGGTGATGCTGAATAAACTAAGAAACTAAATTAAACATAAGTTTACATGTCTTAGTCTAAAGTTGTGGATTGTTAGCCATTTTATGCATATGGAAATGCTCAAACTCGTGACATACAGTGTAACCATGTTTTGTGATGTGCTTCTCTTCCAGACATCCCATCATTAAGAAACTTAGCACATTGACCACAACCAATGCAAAGTTGGCCGAGCTGGTTACGAAACAGGTGAGGCAATACATGTGCTCCTATTTTAGGGTTCCAAAGGATCAGACAGTGTATCTCTCTAAAATGCCTTTGTAATGCTGCCATACAGATTTCAGAGAGAGAGAGTCACACTGGTGGGTCAGTTACTGTTCTTGTATCAAAGTAGTTTGGTGCAGCCACAAGATTTTCATTTTTTCTTTTCCTGCCTTAATAAAAGTTGCTTTCCTTCCTAACACATCTAATTGTGTTGAGGTGGATTTTTTTCAATTTACCTAATCCTTCCAGCAGCACTGTGGCCCTGGATCGACTCAGCATCCAACAAAAATGAGTACCAGGAATCTTCCTGGAAGGTAAAGAGCGACCGGCACATAAGACTGTTACCCTTACTGCCATCTGTGAACCAGTTGTCTAGAAAATGTGGGAGCCTCGACGTCTCACAGCCCTGTCGGCCTTCATGGCCTGTTGCAGGGCTAGCTTTACTTGTGGGGGGGGCAAGTGAGCTGGCTCAATTGGGAGTTGCCCAGATCAGGTCTTGCCTGGGACACATGCTGCCTTTGATGAGGTATTTTTTCATTTTCATTGGGTTCTGTAGACGGTTTCCAGACTAGTACTGCAGATTAGGCCATGACTCTTTCCTTCAACATCCTTTCCAGTTAGGCCTGGTCCTCCACATATAAACATAACTTCAAACACCCATACATACGGATGGCATAGAAACTCCTGTAGGAATAATATTTGATAGCAGAATAGCAAAATAATTTTTCATGGCAGAGTAGTGAATGCACTTGAAATGTGCAAACAACAAACTGAAGCTCATTAAGGAGTATGACTGAGAAGCGTTTCAAAGCCATTGAGTGAAAGTTGCTTAAGTAGCATGATGGAGAAGCGTCAGAAGGCCACTGCATACAGAAAGTTGCTTACTCAGTGGCTTCATGAGGCTCACGTAATAACATTTTTCAACCCTACTCTTGGGCCTGTGGAACATAATTTATTCATAAGTCAAGGATCAATCTTTCAACACTGTAATGTGAGCTCCTGACAGCACTGTTAAATAAAGTAAGTACACCTGAATCACTGTTGTCTGTCACATGTTTCTATGTTGCAGCTGTTTGCTAATGCCATGTTGTCAGCTGGGCTTGTAGATGATCCTCGCACACTCCTGACGAGTATGAATGAACTCCTGACACTTGCGCTTGAGAAGCACTGACAGCATTGAGGTGACTGTTACGTTTAAAATGTCAGAGGTAACTTGCTGCTGCTGGATTTGCAGAAATGTGTGTTCCTCGGAGTTCTGTTTTGTTGTGTTCGGCAACTCACATGGGTAATGCTTCCATTCCTATATAAGTTCTTGAAGATTGTACAGAAAATGTCATTCAGTAATTGGCTGCAAGCATAGGTATCCCCCAGCTTATATGATTCCAGTTTGTGTAAATCTGCATTTGCACTATTTCCTGTGAGTTTAGGTAAATTTTCATGTGTCTGTCCTCTAAAGTATTGCCATCAGGGAGAAAATGTTAGTTACATGACAATTCTTGGGGAATGGAGCAATTGTGAGTTGGGGGATACCTCTACCTAGAAGTGCTGTACTTTGTACATTTCTATTTACATCCTGACAGGTTTTTATGGCTCACAAAAGGATGCAATTATCAGTTACATCAGTAGCAGTTTCAAAAGTAAATATTGTTGCATTTCTTATGTTGTCAATGTTAAAACAACTTATGTGAATAAAGTTCTGTTTTTTATGTTTGTTCAGTAATTTCAGATATAAAAAAATGTGTAATTACAGTTTTGCTACTGTATTATGATCCCCATATCACCAGTTGGTACTGGCCACCTCAGCACAACACTTGCTGGCAGTGACGTGTTTGCATGGTCCATTGCCAAACTCTCTGCTTTGTGTGTGAATCACTTGATGATTCTGTCTGCTGCTAGACATATTGGTATGTACTCTGGATGTTGCAAACTTGCAACTGCAATGATGAAATGATGAAATGAAAAATGAAATGATGAAACTGAAATGATGATGTGACAACAGTGCAACATTCTTCCACCCAGTCTCAGGCTTATTGTATCTTATGTAGGCTGGTAGGGAAGACAGCATACACAACAAAGTAAATTACAATATTATATTTCAGCATCCTGTTACACTCACACAATATATATGGACAAATACCGTCTTAAGTGCAACAATTTTATTGTAGTTTTTACTTCTTTTTCCTCCTCCACACTACATGTTTCGGCCCTAAATGGCCATCATCAGGTGTGTATCACTCACGTAGCTGTTGCACTGCTTGTTAAAATTTAAAAACATCAGTCTTTCTAATTGTATAAAATCTTTGTTAATCTACATGCGTTNGTGCTAATTTTAAAAATCAAATCGACGCGTGTAGATTAACAAAGATTTTATACAATTAGAAAGACTGATGTTTTTAAATTTTAACAAGCAGTGTAACAGCTACGTGAGTGATACACACCTGATGATGGCCATTTAGGGCCGAAACATGTAGTGTGGAGGAGGAAAAAGAAGTAAAAACTACAATAAAATTGTTGCACTTAAGACGGTATTTGTCCATATATAAAGTAAATTACATAAAACACTGAAATAGCCGCCAAGAAGACACGATGGAAATATCCTACAAAAGAAATTAACAACAAAAACAATGATGTGCCTAAGGGCACAGAAGACAAAGTGTACAGTGCAGTGGTCTCAGTAACAAAAAATGTTGCCTGATGATGGTCCATGTGTGACCAAAACATGTTGCAACAAGGAATGAATGTATAAGTGTCATGACATTCTAATTATTTAACAAGCACTTTTATTATTATTATTATTATTATTATTAGTATTATTATTATTGGAGGGGGTGGGTTTCCCTGTGTACCACGACTAATAGTCTATTGTACATCCCTCTTTGATATTCTACCAGTCTCCATACCCTGCTGGTACTGGTGCTCACTATCAGCCCCGTTCAGCCAGCGAGGCTGGCTGCGGTACCCAATACTTCCCCATCTACTGGAGGCATTGGAAACTATTGGGTGGGAAACTTTTTACCTAATTTTGCTCAGAGGTCTCCTAGAGACATGAGGAAGAAGCACTTTTAGTGTATTAAATACATTTTTAGTGTCTTTTATATAAGATTATTGTTGCATTTTAGATGGTATACTTATGATCTAAATATGGTCTAGGAAGTTCTAGATCAGAGCCGGTCTGTAGTAACTTCAAAATTTCCTCGTGCATAATTTACAGAAACATACAAACTGTAAAGATAAGACATTGCAAGCCACTGCTTCCTGTGGGCAGTGGCTAGGGTTCAGTAATTGAGGTTCAGCTCCATATCATCAGATAGCTCCTTGATACACCCTCTACCCTTACTTCTACTGCAAGACTAGTACAAGACTCAAATCTTGAGAGCTGTGAGGAATGCAGAAAGTCTGAACCATTAAAGACACAACAGCAGCATGAATTAGCAACTACTACCTGAGCCAAAACATTCAGTACATACTCTATAGTGGCTGTGTAAGCTCCATGTCACTGTCTTTGTCAGAGGTAATGTTATTGTACTCAGTCACATTTTCACTAACGAAATTATGCTTTGTGTTGTAGAGATATAAACGCAATTGCTTTAATTCAGTTCAGCCGAGCACTACACAAGTAAATTAGTGGCCACTATGTTCTGAAATGATGCTATACACACTAAATATGTCTGTTTCCTCCCTTGTCCCACTTCCTCGCCCCACAAGTGTCCAGATTAGATTCTTGCGTGGTATGTATGACATCAGTCCACTCCCCATGCCCCATTTCTGCACAGAGCACATTGTTGGACCATAATGACATTTTCCCACTTGGGAATTTGCATCACATGATCATATGTTGAAATTTTAGCACCTGCAAACAAGACTAATATTTTAAGCCACGTGCCAGTTTGTGATTTGTGTATGGCTTTCAAGATGAAATATGTCTAACATTATGTTGCAGAAATCATATAGAATAACAGAAACACAGATATTTGCAACACAGGACAAGGTGGATCCTGACAAAGGTAATATAAGACACATAACCTTGGTGTCATGTCCCAGAAAATGGTCGTTCTCTTAGTCACTGTTGCAAGAATCTCAAACTTCGCATGGCTGTAATGCAAGGATGGCAGCAGGTTCTACAGGCTGAGGATGGAGTCCGGTGAAACAGTGCAGTATTGACTCTCATGATGCTGTAATATGATGGAGCTTAGTGGCATTTATGTTTTGTGTTGCATTAAGATGAATGGATGGACTGCTTATCTGTATTCCTTACTACAAAAGGTGAGTTTTGTTCTTAAGATCATTAAAATGAACCATGGTGGACTTCAGAACTGTATGTGTTAGTGGTAAAAGTGTTGCACAAGGTTGCTTTCATTTAGGTCACCTGTTAGTCTTGCAGATTCTGCATTCAGAAGATCCCAGGCCTCATCCCTAAACAGATCCATGTGTGGAGTCTTCTATTGGGGTAACAGAAGTCACCCTGTGAGTGTCCTTCCACCCTTCCCTAGGTGGGGAGAGACCAGAAACATCAAACAGACCACATGTGGAGGTGCTAGAAACCAGCCATCCAGTATTTCCATTTGCTCATATTCTTTTATGAATCTAATTGATGTTCTTATTTGTAAGGTGAGCATACAAAGCTCCTTAATATGCAGCTTTCTCCAACCTTCTATTATTTCATCCCTCTTTTGCCCAAATATTCTCGTTGGTGCCCTATTCTGAAATACCCACTGTGTGTATTCTTTTGTTAATGTCTCTAGACCAAGTTTCACACCCATACAGAACTAATGTAGGTAAAGATAAGTATGCGAACATGATGAAACCAAAATGACCTGCATGTCATGATATAACTGTATGTAACTTAACTCACAACACTGACGATTTGATATGAAGTTTGGCATAATAATAATTTCTGAAGTGCTTGTTACTGCTTAGTTCAGAAATTGTTATCATTGCATCTACTTTCCAAACACTGAAGATCAGTATAGGTAAAATATAATTTTGCCATTTGGTTTGTGTAGGTGTGAAATGTGGGTCACTTAGTTTGAGAGCCCATCATAAGTTACAATGCCTTGAAGCAAAGTGTTCAAAAATATTTGGGCCTTGGATTGGAGAACTGTCACTTCTGTATCTTCAGTGTAAATGCCCCTGTTCCCATGAGTGAGAGAATAAGTTTATTTATACCTGCAGATGGTGTTAAAACCTTTTTATCTGTGTATAATGTTAAGGTTCTGTCTAGATGATGTTATTCTGTAATACATTCCATGAAAATTCCACCCACTGCTGAGAACTCCGACAAAACGTCATGGATGAATGCACACTCCATCTACCTTCCCCCTCTGCATTACGTAAAGATCAGCTTACATGTTATGGACTATATTAAGATTCAAATGTGATGGTGAATGGGTGACTGTCATGTGAGGAGAAAAACGGTTTCATGATTGCAAGATCTTGATTGTCATGCCATGTAATTGTAACAGGAGTGATAAGTGTTTACTCCATAGTGCAGTACAAAAAAATTATCAGCACCTTCCTTTCAACTTTATTCCATGTAATGGGAAGAGTCTTTCTGTATTGATTTTCAGGAAAGTCTGTAATGGTATAGGGGATGCATGGCCTTATTCAGAGTAGGCTTTATTACAGATCCATGTGGCTGAAGATTGGAGTTGCAAGACATGTTGAATTTCATTGATGGTGTGGAATGGCGTGTGGGGTACATGGAAAACCTTATGTGAATCAGTATGCCAGAAAACCAAAATGCCACACATCAGGTGAAAGTTTCTCGTATAAGGTTAAAGAACTGTCATTTATGATCTTAGGTGAAGAAGTTTTATTATGTTTCAGTATCACTGAATACCTGACATTGAACTTTGCCAACAAGCGGCAGTTGCTCGGTTGGTATAGTTCGCTTGCGGACTAAAATCACAGTTTTTTCTTTTTTATCACTGAAAACGGGAATTGTTTACCAGCTTTTAGTGGAGGTCTCCCATTTCGTATTTTAAGAAAATATGCCCAGTTGTGTAAGCCTTGATACCAAGACACAGACGGAGAAACTGTTCACATTAGGCAATCGTTTATTTTATAAAGAACGTCTAAACATCAGCAGGGAGTTATTTTCCACTTGACAACGCCTTTACCCAAACCCTTCACACTCTCTTGTTTGATGCAGTTAAACACTAACATGAGGTCTAGAAAACCGAGATTAACGGTCGTGGGAATCCATTGCATCGACCACGTGACACCCTCTATCCGCAAAAGTTGGCACTAACTTCGCCGACAAGCTGCGGTCGCTCGGTTCGTATAGTTCGCTTGCGGACTAAAAGCTACGAAGTTTATGAAGATTGTGGAGTATGTGCATGTAAAGTATGGCGTTTGGTTCCTTGGTCTTCAGTTCTGAAATATAGATTGAAACAGTTTTCTCACGTTGAGAGAGAAACCGCCCTGCAGTAACTGTAACAATGACGGGCACTGACTAGTTTGCGAGTCCTTGCTACTGCGCATCCGTTTTGTTTGAATCGTAGAGTAGCATCGGCGTGGCATCTCCGGCAGCCGCCCGTGGAAGTAGATAGCGAACAAACTGCTTCACGTTCACACGGATGAGAGAGCTAATTTGAACGCATGGGGCGTCACGATTTCCATCTTCTCGAGACCAGGGCCGGCCACCTTGTCGTGTCCGAATGACTGCAGTCAGCATATCCGACCGTGTTCAATCTTGCTATAAAGG